ACAGATGTGGGAAGAGGCCATTGCCTTGGGTAAAGAACTTGCAGAGCAGTATGAAAATGAAATGTTTGATTATGAACAACTCAGTGAACTGCTGGTAGGTTGCTTTTTTTTTTATAGCTACATAGACACTGCAAGAATTTTTCCAGACTTGAATTCCTAATCTTTTCAAATTCTATCAAAAATACTCTTGTTGTGACAGAAAAACACAGAAATAGTTGCCCATTTTGGCTTTGTTGCACCAATGTTTATTATCTACCACTGGAGTGCCTGAAAAACATTGAAATTATTTTTTTTTCAGCTGAAAGAAAAAATATTTCAGTTATGTTAAGCTGATTTATTTGGGGTATAATGGGAAATTTGGAATTGAAATATAAATGGGAACATGAAAAAAATCCCCATTCTCTCTCAAGTGTCTTTCCATATTCACGTTTCTTTTTTTAGGTATGAATAATCCCCAAGCATTCATGTCTAGAGTCAGTTATTTTTGCCCTGACATTACCCATTCATTATGCCTGCACAGTTTTTCCCTCCTGTTCTCTTCCAAGGAGATAAATGGCAGCTGTCACTGTCCCTCCTGACGTCTCAACCATTCCCCATGGGAGCTGGGACATGATTCCAGTTTGGTTCTGAAAATTCTCAGTCTTCAGGTTTTTGATGCATTTTTACCTTTGCACTCATTTTCCTTCGTTTCTCTGCACTGTCTATCTGCTTTATTCCAGTCTGGCTGAGCTGGACACTCAAGTGATGTGTCAGGGTTTAAGCCCAGTGAGTGTCTCAGCCCCAACTCACTCCTTCCTCCTGGTGGGAAGGGGGACAGAATCAGGAGGGTGAAAGTGATGCTCGTGTGTTGAATAAAGGCAGGTTAATAGGAAGAACAAGGAATTCCTTCCCCACTTCCCATGAGCCCCAGGAAGGCCCCAGGAAAGCAGGATTCCATCATGAGTATTGGAGACTTGGGAAGACCAACTCCTCTCTCCCCTCCTTCCTTCTTCCTCCCCAGCTCTGTGTGCTGAGCATGATGCCATGTGCTCTGGGATACCCCTGGGGTCAACTGTCCTGTCTGTGTCCCCTCCCAACTCCTTGTGCACCCCCAGCCTGATCCACCTCCCCCTGGTGGGGTGAGGAGCAGAAAAGGCCTTAACTCAAACCCAGTGCTGGTGTCAGTGGAGAAAGAGGGTGCAATGATGCAGTGACACCTGGGCTGGGCTTGGCTGAGGTGGAGGTAATTCTCTCCACAGCAGCTGGAGTGGGGCTGGGGGTTGGATTAGTGCTGGGAGCAGAGTGGATAACACAGGGATGGAGAATAATACCAAATTGTGTGTTTTTCACCATTTGTCTTGCCCAGTAAACATGTCATTGTTTACATTAAGTGCCATAATTCCAGGCAGTGGTTTAATCCAGGTATAGTTCATCAGCCTATGGACATGGAGTTTCTCCCTCATCTAATAGGGGAGATCCAGAACTTCCAGTTCTCACATCTGACAGCTAAGTTTGTCTGTTCTTCATGTATCAGCCAAGAGAAATGGAGAGAGAGCTCACAAAATGAGTCCTGGCATGCACTGGGCATTGATCCCTCCTGAGGCAGAGATCAATTCACACACATATGAGTCAGGTCTCACATCCCACATCAGCATTTCTTATTGCTGATGTTCAATAGCTTTTTTTTTTTTATTCCCCACAATAAAATGTAGAAGTTCTTTTGTTCTTTCTGCTCTCCCCTCTTTTCTCTTTTATTCAAGCAATATTAAATATTAGACTCTAGGACAACTCATAAATGACAAATAGTTTTGCTACAGATGAACTGAGAAATCCACAGCAGTTCTGGGTCTTTGTAGTCTTCTTGCCGTTTACTGTTATCTGTCGTGTGGGAGCAGCAATAAACCTCCCCCCAAAGCAGAAATCATCCTCTTTGCACAAATAATAGACTAAAAAGAAGGTAATGAACAGATTGTCATTTGCTATTATTTCATCATTGGAGATAAAGAACTATTCCATGTCCAAAGCAGATGTGTTTAGGTCTGAATTTACATATTCCTGCAGCTTTCAACCTGCTGCTTTCCCTCTGCAAATTGATAGTTGTAAATATGGAAGAGAAGGAGGAGAAAATGGAATGAAATGTAACAGCCCCAAGCTTGGCAAGTCAGCACCATTGAGATGAGCTGAGGGCAGTGGTGTGTGGCTTCATCCTTCCACATCCAGTGCTGGAGGTGTCACAGCTGGGAATTCAGGCTGCCTTGAAAATTCTTGACCTTCACCAAAACTGAGATGTTGAGACAATGAGACTCAGCAAGATGAGGTTCATCAAAGTTGAGATGTTGTATATGGAACTATAAGGTTTGTCAAAATTGAGATATTGGATGTGGAATGATGAGGTTCACCAAGATGGAGTTCATCAAAATTGAGATATTGGTTATGGAGCAATGAGGTTCAACAAGATAAAAATTGAGAT